ATCCAGTAAAATTAACGTCTGGAGTGATATATTTAAATGTTATTTTTGCTGGATGCCTATATTTTAGTAGAAGCTCTCTTATATTTAAGACTGTATTTTATCAAGTCTAACGGCCTGAACTTTCAAGAAAACGTATTTAAGAAAATGCACCTTTCAACAGCATTCAGGACTGCGTCTATCTTTGCTATGGAAACAGCCGTTTAATCTGATGTGCTTTAACCTCTCGACTAGGGAAAGTTTCAGAAACAAGCAAGGTTCTATTTTTCCTTTTAAAGCATATTTTTATTCGTTCAGACTTCATCGAAAGTCATAACCGCTCAGTTTTGTATAGGAAATGTAAACAAAGCAATTTTTAAATCAATGAATTTTATTTCAATACTACATATTTTTATTATTTTAAACTTTATTTTTATGGCTATAGTAAATATGAGTATCCACTAAAGATAACGTTAGAATATAAATATATATATATATATATATATAAAATGTACTCGAAAATTATAACATAATTTTAGCCATTTTGTTTCAACACTTCTGGTTTCCTATCAAGTGATCATGTTGCATGTAGAATAAAGGGTTTTAAAAGGTTCAAATCAATTAATCGCCCCTCGCAAGAGGAAACGCTGCTACATAAGCTGGAATGACCAATCAGGATACAAGTATACGGGAATTCAAAAAACTTGACAACGAACTAAGGTTATTATCACTTGATAAGACACCAGAGGTGTTGAAACAAAAGGTCTATTTTTGTAGTGATTTTATAACATATTTATGTTGTAATTTTCGAATAAATAATTATATTTGCTTTACTCTGTATTGAGCACTCTTTTAAGAATAGTATTTGTTGGTTATTGGAATTTATTCCGTATACACCAATCCTACATATATATATATATATATATATATATATATATATAATACCTTAAATGGGATGTTACAATCCGTTACTAATGCTCTGACAATGCCTCCGCAGAATATTCTTGAACATTCCAAGACGTAAGCACCAAGTATATGAACGGGCATTAGTTTGTAGACGTTTTTAAAGAAGAAAAAAAAATTATCAGTAGAACTGATAAGCTCAGTGGTGGTTCATTCTGTTTTCCTGACATATTTTTTTTTTTTTTTTACTCTTGTCTGTTTATTATTTATATAATTTACTCGATGACTACTGTCCTCTGTTGCTATCATAAAATTTCGGTTGTCGTACCCTACGGCCTTCATCGGATGCTTGCCGAACCAAGTAACCTACAGTGAATTTCGAATTGAACCCTTTATTCAATCTATAGGGTTAGATTGTTCTCGTTCCTCTGCCCATGTCTAGAGCTATCTTATCTAATTCTTTTTTTTTTTTTTTTTTTTTTTTTTTTTTTTTTGTTTTGCAATGGATAGCGACTTGGATTGGGGAATCGGAGAGCCAAGTTCAAATTTCAGTCGAAATCATTATATCCACTTACGTGCTAATAAATACCCTTGGGAAAGGTATGAATTCTCTACTTCTCCCGCCCCCAGCTATTGGTAAATAGCAGGGCAGACTGGGTTCTATAGCCTTGGATGGAAACTGGCCTACCGCAGAAAGAACTGGCAACCCACTGCGGGAAAAAATCTGCCTCGTCAGTCATATATCGAAAGATCGACTAACGTATATCACGTATGGCACATAATTGACTGAGTGCTCATTGAATGCTTGTTCCGTTTCCAACTGTGTCCAAGTATACATTGCCTAGTTTAGTAATTGAACTCCTGGTAAGTCCGCATTACTCCAAATTCACGAATCAATGTGGTAATCAACTGCTCCTTTGTCAGTGTATCCTTTTGTTGACCTTGATTCTCTTACCACACTTTTTTTTTTCTATTTTCTCTGCTGAGGAATGCCTCTCCACGTAAACAAATCATCTCCTTTTAATCTTTTGCTCTGTTGGAAGAATTTGCGCTTACGCGTTCAAGTCTTGCTTCTTTTTTCAAAGTAAACCCTGAAATACGTAAAAAAAAAAGAAAAAACCTTTCAATAACCATTCCGAACTCTTAGACATTCGCAGCAATTGTTCACGGAACATTTGAGATTTTGCACTCTCACAATAGGACCTCGAAAAGGCACGCAAATTTAACGTCATTTATGACTCTTTGAATATTCAATAAATTTATCTTGATTTATTTTGGGATATTCTTTTTAAATACGTGACTATAATATTGAAAGATCAAATAGCGTCAATTTAAATAAGTGGCTTTTCAGACAGGGGCGGGAGGGAGATGGAATAACTAAATATTTGGCAAGTAACATCGAATTACAGACATCAAAGAAACAAGATAAAAATATTGCGATGATAAGGGCTCCATTTATTCGTAAAATCGACTACAGACAAAGCGGTATCACTAAGCCTGCAAAGAAAGAACTTTCTATTGGTTTACAAAGGAAAAGACGCCATTTTTATTTTGTTTTCTTCCTTTCTTTCTCTCTTATTTTTTTTTTATTTTTGGGGCAGGCTATCATACTTAGAGAGACTGTTAATTTTTTAAAACATTTTAAAAACGCGTGTGTACAAAAATTAACTATTCTGGAATCTCTCTTATAATTCTGCTTAAACGCCCTTCCCTCGCTTCGTTACTTAGTCAGGAATTTCTTCAGTTCGCACGGCCGTTATGCCCTGCCAATACCTCATAAATAATGAACTATTCCGTTCTGACTGCGTGAAAACACGGAATTAACATACCATAAACGCTGCTTGGTTTCAGTAAGAAATGTAAAGGAAGATAGAAGCATTTAACGTATGTTTCGATGAAATAAAATGTTTGTCACCTATCTTTTCATTTGTAAACCCTTAGTTATAAATAGATTTGATTAAAAAAAAAAAATGTTTGCAAAACTGGTTTTCGGATATTTGTATTCAGTCTTTCCACAAGAAAGAACCGCTATGTGAGAGTAACGAGAAAATTTTTAAAGAGTACAAAAAGTAAGTAAAAAGAGAATTAGGCTTACAAAAAAGCCAAAATGTCTGGAATATATGAGGAAGAGAATATGCCTACAGAATGTAACACTATGAAGACATATTGAAGACAAGAGAATCATGGATAGACAACGTGTATGTTAGTGAACCTGTTGATATTTAAGGATGATAGATCAAGGACAGAGAGATCGAAAGATTTTTTATTTTAATTCTGCTCTTTACTGACAATTGAATATGTTTTGAAGCTTGCCATGTCACGATGGTAGAGTTCTCGGTCTACACATATTTCATCTTAGTGTTTACCTATGTATGGAAAAATTACACTCTGAAGATGACAATTTGAAATTGTCGAATGTACTTATGTGTCTTCCGTCTCACAGCAAGTCGAATATAAGGTCCTTATTATTCAAGGAATTGATAGTAAGTTAATGTCACATTAAGTTCTGTCAGCGAAGTGATTTCGCCATTAATCACATTAACATTGCTATTTATTTCTTTGTATAAATTGTTTCTTTATGATTTATATGTTTAAAGTAGTGACCGAAAAAGATTGGAACTACGTACAATACAGAAAGGTTTTGTATTTTGTTAATCTTACCAAACAAAAATGTAAGAATACTGGAACAACTACATAAAAATTAAATTTTCCTTGTCTATTTCTGTCAAAACACATTTAAAAGCAATGTTGTTTATATATATATATATATATATATATATTGTGTGAGTGTTTAAATGTTATTGATGCTTCTAAAACAGGATTTCAAATTAAATTCTGTGAATATCTGTTTAGATTTTGGGAAATACGTCGGGCTTGGAACATTTCAGTATCATTTGTGTGTAGGTATATATATATATATATATATATATATATATATATATATAATAAATAATGTCTTTAATTTAATCGCAAAATTAAATTCGGGGCTTTTAGCTTCCATTTTTGAAACATGGTTAGAACTGTATAGCGAAAACCGTATTTTAAATCAATTAATTTATAATATTAATGCTTTGTAAATTACATTGAGCACTATTTTGTAAAAATAACAATATCTATAAGAACACCGGATTATATATCCTGCTGTTCTTCCTTTATATATATATTTAGGAATTATTTTTTAATCCCAAACATTTTTTTTTTCATTTAAATGTTTAGAGTAGATCCCAGTATTTGCGCGTAGAACGTCTAGTTTATTTTTTAAATCGGTGTCCGTTCGAGAAAATGAAATGAATAAAGTTTACGTGACCCCCAGCAGGATTGAAGCCTCCGTCCTATGAACTGTCGTCTGCCCATTCGGCTACCGAGTCTCACGCCCAGACCTTTTCCTATTTGCCTTAAATCATGTTTCCTCATCAATATTTTTATCGGAAGCCATAATCTACACAGTCTTGTATGCGAAACAAACAAAAAAAAATTTCTGAAGAATGTGGTAGGCCGGTAGACGAAATAAAAAAAAAAAAAAAAGTTTTAAAAGTAAATTCAAATACGGATATCCACTAAAAATAACGGTTGATGTATTTTATCTATACGCACACACACACATTTATTATATATATATATATTTTCTTTATATATATATATTTATATTATATATATTTATATATATATATAATTTATCAGTGCATAACAGGATGGTCGCACTTGTTAGGGCTCCAGCTATGCGAAAATAGTGAACTTTCAAGCAAAAACAAAATTTATAGTAAAAATTACCAACAATACATTTGATCTGTAGATGAAAGCATACAATTTCGTCCAAAACATTCAGTTGAAGCCATGAAATTACTTAGAAAGTATTTAACTTTCGGCATAAATTACCCCATAGAGGTTGATATACCGCTAAAAGAAATACACCAAGTCTGTACACGACTTGACGGTAAATTGTTATACATTTTTGAGCACATGTGTCAGTCTTTACGACTGCGCATAATATTTTCCTACCTATTCAAAATTAGAAAAGGTTCGATTTTAGAAGATTGTCCTAAAGGCCTAGGGGAAGAGGCATTTTTAAGTGGAAGCGCTTAAATCATTACCAAATTACCTCTCCGGTGAAAACGTTCCAGCGTCTCATTATCTGCCGATTGCTGAGCCCAATTTGCTGGAGCGCGGGACTGTTGGAGACGTTGTGGTGGGCTCGTCGGTGATTTCGGCCCGAAAATTGGCAGGCGACAATCATATCATTACTGAATTTGTTGTCCGAAATTGTTCAAAATCGACCGCGCTTCAACTCGTCCGCGTCGCCGCTTTCCCGAACATCTCCGTCTCTCGTATCACAGTTTTCCTCCAGGATTATAGCCATTTCTTATGCCGATGTCTTTCTTTAGCGCAATCTCATAATCACTTCTCTAATGCCGACTCGACAAACTGGCTTCTTATTTCATTTGTGTACCATTCTCATTTCAAGAAGGTTGAAAGCCTATAATCCAGATATGTGCGGAAATAGCGCTGTTGCAATAGAATTCGTGGATGCAGCTCGATTGGAATAAGAATTAATATTTATTCCTTTTTTATTTTTGTCTGAGAAATCAAAATTCAAAAAGGAAAACTTGTCCACACGCGCAAAGGAATTACAAGAGTCTAATATAAACTAAACAATGATTGTGAAATGCTGCACGGAGCACTTAGTTAATCTGTTGTCAGAAAACCAGAAATCGATAAAACATCTTTATTTTCTTTAAGATTTCCTTGAAATTTAGACACACACTTAGCGTTTTGTTTTGTTTGTTGTTTTTTTTTTACCTCAAAAAATCTATAGATTTTAAATTGATTGGCCAATGCGATTTTTACAGTATTGAAAGAAGGTCTATTTATTTAATTTTGATATATATCTTCTCAGTTCCTGAAAACACCACATCGAATAAAAATGAGGGATAAATAGTTATCTTTTTCTAATCACCTGCGGTGACTAACGATTAATCTCGCGAGGAATATTTTGTTCTGAGCTTCCTTATTCTGTTGGTAAATCGGATAATGTTCCATGAGAATTCTTTTAGGAGTTGAAGACAGTGAAATCTTTTGTTCTTTTATAACAGTTGGTAAGGTATCCACTGGAAAAAAAAATCTTTCTCTCGGGTGTTCAAAACAATATGTACAGAATATAACAATAAAAGTTAATATTGGCCTAAATTAGCTGATGAAATATCTCTAGAGAAATTGCTTCTTCCTGGATTTTCTTCATCTGGTTTTCAGGTGAATTGTATTTCAAGACAATTCTTAGATCGGGAGGATGAACAGGAAAAAAATTTTTTTTCAGAAGCGGTTAACTCGATGTCTTATGACAATTTTCTTTGCCATTTTTTTTTTCACTGAATCGATGCAAGATCATAATCCAAATGCAGAGCCTTCTATTACAACAAATGTCTCCCTGATTAACCATGTCTTCAGCTGTACTCAAAACGTTTGGCCAATTACTGGTTGGTGAGGCAATTTAATCTGTAGATGGAGGATTTGAATTCAGTTGTCATTCTCCGTAAAAAGACTACTACTCAAGGCTATACGATACGGTCTGTCCCTCTGTTTACCCACAGCCGGAAGAGAGAGCATATTCATACCTTTTCTAATGGTATTTGCTTGTAAGTAAATGTGACAAACTCGACCTGAATTCGAACTTTCCTATTCCTCAATCCGAGCCGCTATCGTAGCGCTTAGACAATTTGCAGAGTTGTTGATAAAAGCGGGGAGGAATTCACGAATGGAGGTTTGTTTTGCATGCGCATTCATATCATCAGACGTCATATTGACTTATTGCTATCTATAACACGACAAATCAAATAATGGGTTATCAGTTGAAGGTTTTTCGACCGCAATAATGTCACCAATATTTGATTCTAATATCGATGGGTATAAAATTAAAAAAAAAAAAAAGAATAGTGGATATTACCATCTGGATAACCTGTGTAAGTGTGTTGTAGAGTAGTTTTCACAGGTTTTGGAGGCTTGTATTTCACCAAGTCGGTTCTAAAAAGGTTCGACGTACAAAACGTTAGGAACTTGTTATAATAGTTAATGACGCAGCAATCTAGTTGTGGTGGTTGATACTTTAATGTCTGACATCGACTGACACACCAACTCCACTCTGAGCCCCCTGGCGACTGCTAGTACTACTACTTATTATATCTGGGAGAGTCTATTTTCTAGTATAACAGTAAGGGCGAGCAGTTAGTATGCAAGCATTTCGTCCGCGAGACTCGGGGTTGAATCTCACCATGGACGATTTGTCAGGAAGATACGTTCATAAGAATTATCAGTCTGAGAAAACGATCCCAGCATGTGGCACCGTTGGTAATTGCACGAAAGACCATGCCAACGGTTTGAGCGAAAACTTGCAAAAGAAAATTTTGAAAGCGAAAGTGAGCTGAATCCGTTGATTGTTGTACAAGCAGAGCGCAAGGCGCTAGTCAGCGTGACTGAGTGTTTCAACAAACTGATCTCGATCAACTATTAACCAGTCTTGATTAGACGTTCTGCAAAACATCTATTAAGTGTAATTGAAGTACAAATCAAAATTTGGGTGTTGAAAAAAAAAAAAAAAAAAAAACAATCAGAAATATACCCCAGTCGGCTTCTGCTCACTTGGAAGACTGGTGTTCTTTCAAAAGAGTAGTTTTGTTTCAAAAAGAATATATATATATATATATATATATATATATATATATATATATATATATATATAGTAGCGGTCATAATATAAGGAACGGAAACAACAAAGACATAAATATGTGTATTACTTAAAAAGTAATGCATGATTAGCAATGAAATTTTTACCGAATAAAGATTAGGGTGTGATGCATAAATATTATACAAAGTTCCAAAAATTTACATAATAGTTTTTTTGTTGTTGTCTTTGTTGTTTACGTTCCTTATATTATGGCCGCTACTGTATATACACAAACCCAGGGATGACCAAAGGCCATTTCGAATAATGATAGACAAATTTCTAAAAAAACACAACTTATATTTAATCATCGTACAATTATTTTAATATAACAGTTAGATCTTTTTTTTTTATTTTCGTCGGTATCCACTTGCTTCGAGTGCCCACTTTTTACTATTTTGAAATTTGTTTATTATTATTTGAAATGGGTAAAGGGAATTTTGTCCATCCTTATATATGAGAGAGATATACACAATAGCTTGATTTTATTATATATATCGGCTTCATTTTAATACATCTTTCGTACATAGACTCTGTTGATTTATATACATATATTATTGATATTACAGATAAATGTTTAATTAGAAATCTTCATAAATAACCACATATGCACATGTATATAAAAGTTGGACAAAACAAATGACAAAATATTGCTAGATATTTATTAATTTTGTCGCATTTATTTTCGCCATTAATTCTTTCGTTTTTGTTTTTTTTTTTTTTTTTTTTTTTTTTTTTTTTTTTCGTTTTTTTTTTTTTTTTTTTTTTTTTCAATTATTTCTTTAGTCTTCCCATATCTATATATTTCATAAGACCAGAACAATGGCCGCCGAGTTGTGGCTGTAGCACTAAATGATAGCTAGATGGCAGCTAAAAACGAAATTAAATAGCACTAAAACTGGACATCACGATAAATCTGTTTTAATGAAATTAAGACATTCGCGAAGGAGGCAAAAGAGAATGTTCGGAAATTAAACATTGGTGATGAGCAAGCATAAAAGAAGGGCAAGAAAGAAAGATGGACAGAGAGAAAGAGAGAGGTTGCGTAATAATGTTAGCCGTATAACAAAGAAAATATTTCCGTGCATAAAAAAAAGTGAGAAGGAAATAAATGATGAAAGAGAAAGACACGAAAAGAGATATGATCAAGACAGAGAGGGCACGAGATGGTCGTGCGGTAGAGAGAGAGGGGCCACGAGATGGTCGTGCGGTAGAGAGGAGGGGGAGGTCCACGAGATGGCCACGAGATGGTCGGTAGAGAGGGGGGGCAGACGAGATGGCCAAAAGATGGTCGTGTAAAGAGAGAGGGGCCACGAGATGGTCGGTGCGGGCCATAGAAAGAGAGAAAGGACACAATAGGACAACTGGAGAAAAAAAGTGATGTATTAAAGTAAAGTGAAATAATAATGTGCTGTATCCCTTTAGGATGTTAACTATCACAGTGCTTCAGAACTTTCTTTCCTTAGTAGGTCTAGGTAATGCCTCCTTACCATAATTTCCCATCCCTCATCAGTCCGCCATTTACAAAAACACTGATTATGTTACTCGCTTTTTGAAACTGCTCTTTTTGCTTTCAGTAATTCCTGTGAATATTAGTTTTTCAAGTCCTTTTTCCTTGTGTGTGCCAGAAATTGTAACTGTCTCGCTAATGTCTGATAGTAGTATTTTTTCGTTAAAATTTCATCTTTATTGCTCACAAGTTCTGCCCATTGATATTCAATTTCGTTTCTGTTCTCGCTTAGTGTCTAGTCTTCTTCTGTGATAAAACCGTTCTTCAGTTCCGCCAAAAATGATTTGAATAAAAAAAGCTGATGAGAATGGAGAAAAAATTAGAAAAATTAAGGCAAACATGGGAAAATATTATTCACACCGCTATATCAATGCAACACTCCTGGCAGTTTTCGTAGTTTCGTTTTTATTGCCAATTTTTGCCAAATAGTATTGACTTTTTTCTCATCTCCAAGTTAATTTTTAACTTGAAATTATTTCCGAATATTTTTGAGCAACTGTCATTTTCATCGACCCGATTATTTGTATAGAACTCTACAGGCTGCTGTTTGCTCTTATTTGTCGTTCTTGTAACGAAGACCGAGACGTGTTCCTCTGAAAGAATATGAAGAAATCAGGAAACGGAAATAAGAGATCAAACTAGATAGTTGCAAATGAGATTTTAAAAACCACAAATCGTCACTGAGAAACTCCAAGAAGGGATCGAGCAACAGTGAAGTGGAAATCAGAGAAATTATGAAGGATTCTCCAGATGATGAACCAAGTTCTTTCAAGCAGTGAACAATTCAAGGACTCTTTTCAAAAGATATAATCATCAAAGGATAATCGTCAACACATTTAAGCTAATTCCAAATTTGAGACATCAAGCTCTTTCTTTTTCTTGTTGAAAAAAAATAATATATATATATATATATATATATATTAATTTGCCTAGAGCTTTCTGATTCATTCATTATTTTTTAAGAAAAGAAAATGACGATTTAATCGTTTTTCGTTTTTTTCATTTTCCAAATAACGTATTTTTCTTTGTTCTTTATCTTCCCTTTTACGCTCAATTATTTTCTCTAATGATTATTACCCTCTTACTTCTCCCCATCTCTGTAACCCCGCTTTCTTCATTCTATTCTCCTCCATTTTCCCCTCGTTAAGCAATCAAACCATTCAAGTGCATGACGTCGCTGTTCCAATACTCAGAATCACTCCCTCTTCACTTTTAATTTCATTCTTTCCCACCCCCACTTTCATTTATTCTGCTTTTT